TCTTCAGGATTTTTCGTAAGTAATTAATAGCATTGCAATTGTAGAAATCCCCAAGCCTCAACCTGGTTTAGATGCCATTCTAAGACCGTTGTTCTGACATCCTCCCACTTCTTCAAATGATCTTTAATAACAGGTATCAGCATTAATCCTCTTTTTCAGAAGAAAACATACCTCGCCGAGATTCTTGGTGTTCTTCATTCAAGAGTTCTTAGCATTCTTCTATCATCAGATCCATTTCGGGTTCCATTATGAACTCTTCAATGTTCTTTATTTCTCAGATTTGATTTTTGTTACTTCTTTAGCTGCTTGAGTTTTCTGGATTATACAGTATTTTTCTTAAATAAGATTGAACTGCTGCCTACTGTAGACCTGTTCATGCCATACTGCCCAGCCACATTAGGCATCTTCTGCCCACTCTCCACTTTTGGTATTATACTCTCACCTTTCGAAAAGAAAAACAGATGCAAAACTTAATGAGTGCCTACCCGACAGTCTCGCAAATACATAAAAGAATTATTTTGTCAGAAAAATAAAAGGCTGGAATTACAAGGGAGAGTTTCAAAGTTTGGAGGAATACTATCCGATCGGTGTATACCGGCTTGAGCATTGATGTCGACGTTTCCCACACTCCGAAAAGTTTCGAATTGTTTCCTGAAGACATGGGAAGACCAATTGGTGTTCATTATTTTACATCGCTTCTTCTTGTATTTGTTCTGTGAGGTGTTCGTTATCCGATCATGTGTTCATTGTCCGAACATAAAAATCTTTCGCGAAAGTGTTCGTTATCCGATTTGTTTGTTAACCGATCACCCACTGTATATTTTATGCGATGCAGCCACAGGTTGCCCATCCCTGCAATAAAGGGTGAGACGAAATAAAGTTGGGGAGCCTTACTAAAGCTTAGCCTAGGGGCCCAGATGGTAATTAATCTACCACTGCCCTTATGTTGTTTTTAAACAACACACTGATACCAACTGGGTGTTTCCTCCACACTGAAAAATATCTCCACTCCTCATTGAAAGTGATATCCTAAATGCATTATTCCTCTGATTTGTCCCACATTTCAACACTCCTCCAGTAAACTTATCAAGAGTTTCATATCTCTAACATTCACAAAATCTCTAGCCATCTTGAGATTAAAATAAACTACAAAACTTTTTGTAATTTTGTTTTCCTACTGTATTGTCTGATAAAACTGAAAAAAACAGTGCTGTGGAATATGTGCAGAAACTAATCAAATGCATCTGGATACCTAATCATATGGCCTATAGAAAGATATGCATTTGCTCTAGTGCTTTGCTAGGTTGTGACATATACAAACATCCATTTTGTAACTAAGCTAGTAGCAGGAAGATCCAACAGATTTATCATCTGGAAAGATTTCACCATGTTTGTGTGACATAAAAAGTCTCTTGCTTCAATGCACTGTTACCTATCCATAAGGCATTTAGTGCCTGAGTTTTATCTGAACAAACACCTAGATTGTGTGAAAGCAGCCTTATAAATTAAATGTAATAATACCAAATTTATTTTCTATTGCAGGATATTCACCAAATTACAAAGATAAATTATAAAAAGTAAGATTAACTATTGTTATTTTTTGATATTTTATATAATTGAATGATTGTCTATTAAAGTTGTTATAAAATATATATATCTAATACAAGATTCTATTGTTAATTAACTTCTGTATAAGTAAATATATTCAAATTATATTTAATAGTTTGAAGATGATCTGATTATGGCTAAAATCTAGACTTATACGTTTCTATATGATGTAATTGTAGACTGAATATCCAAATATATTTTGACAAAATCATATGAATCAGTTAAATCAATAACTTTTATATTTTTAGACTAGAAGAAATATGGAAACCTAAAATTGAAGAATTAGACAGTTTGAAAGTTACACGTGAAATACCAGCAATATACATTCTGTTGAGTAAAAAACCTTTAAATGCTGATGAACCTGGGTAATAGTGAAGTTATCAAAATTAAAATTTAAAAAATTATTGAATTTCTAAAATATAATAATAATAATAAATCCAGGTATCAAGCGCCAGGATCATCTGATGCCTTTTGGAAGAAATCAGAAGATAAACCACAAAAAATACGTCGACGAGCACAGGCAACATATGAGCTACCAGGAAGTTTGAGTCAAAAACATCAGAAAAAATAAATGATTTAATTTTTTGAAAATATATTTTGTAACTAATTAAATATAATTTATTTAATAAAAGAGTTAAATTTATTTATATTTTGCATTGAAGTTTTGAATTACACAAAATCTAATTTTTATTTTGTGAATATAAATTTTATAGGTAGAAAACTACTGTGAGAAACCAGGGGTAGAGAGTCTCTCTCTGCCTCTTTTAACGGCAACAGTCTGGTGACTGTTCACTTTGTCACCAGATGGGTTTACCCGAGTGACCAAGGGATGATGAGTCCTTGATAGGGCGTTGCACCTACTAAGTCCACACGAAAGCAGGTTAAACAACAAAAATAACAATTTAATGAACTAACTCAAAAGCAGTAAGCTAATACACTACAGGTTATTCTACATTTCATAGGTAACATAATGTCCAGGACTATTCCTAAGTGCCAGTAGTTTTTCTATTTAGTCCATATGACTGTATCCGATAGACATTAAATAAAGCCTTATATCTGCATCCTTATAGGCTAATTGACCAAGAGAGAGAGTTTACATTTCCTTAAGTAATATACCTCTTAGACTGATGGATCTGGATCCTGTTGTAAGGGACGTTAGCGAAATGCACCAGGTTCGGCAGTTAGTAGGGGTGGCAAGTAGTCCTCTTTCCTTTCCTGTCAGGAACATCTTGGCAGGGAGACTGGAGTGGGAGAGGCGAGAGTGGTGACGGACGAAAGCTTGTCCTCTTGCTTCTGGGAGAGTGTTTGCAACTCTTTTTATATGCATTGCGCCTCATAGTGACCTCATCAATTATAATGAGAAATGCCTTTCTAAAGATTTCTGCTTCTAGTGATGTATGTTTAATGGTACTGGCAACTTAAAAGCCACTATGCACAGTTCATCATTCTTTTAATAACATTGCAGCAATTTCAGTTGTAGCTAATGGCAATACTATCTTTTCTTGGCAGCTAACATAAGGCATCAAGGCATGTTTTTCCAGATCCTCCAAGTCCATGAAGGAAAAAAATTTTTCATGATTGTCTTCAATCTCAATTGAAGCTTTAACTTTCTCAAAAGCCATTCTTTGATCAGCATTTAATGTTTTTATCAATCTATCTTCCTTACACTTCTCACTTTCCTCTTCATAAAAATGCTGAGCCCTCATAATTGCAATAGGCATTGATAAGTTGAAATCTTGACATCTTTTCATGCTCCATAAGTATTTCATTAATTTCTGTTATGGTCAAATTGTAATTGTTTTCAGCATATTTGTGTTAGGGAAATCTAAGATCATATCATCTTTAAACTCCTCCATAAAGCATGAATTTTTGCTGGAGCACAATACAATAGTATGTAAGAAAATATTTGATGCATTTGTTGTGGCATTTGAAAAAGAACTGCTTCTTCTAGGCATCTTTGCCATTCACTGTCAGAGTCTAAAAGTCCATGTTTACTTGCAGCTTGTTGAAATGTTGGAAAGAGTATTCCATTAAAAGTTTCTAGATCCTCAAAACATGTAGCTCCTTTAACATGAAGTAACAGAAATCTAAGATAAAATCGTTCCTTTTCATTCAAGCTGATTGTATACATTCTTGGCACTATTTTTTCACTTCCTCTCTTTCTTTTCTGCCATTTTCTTTTGGAGTACACATAATGACAAGGAATTTCTATATACAAAAGAATTGTGAGATGCTTCATCAGACAAATTAAGTGCAAAGAAATGTATTAGCTTTGTTGCTTTATTTTGTGCTATTTTCAGTGCTTCTGCTTCTTGTTCTTTAAAATGAAGTGTGTAGATGAGGCAAATGAATTGGCAACCTTATTAGTGTGTTGATCTATCATGCATTGGAAACTAACATTTGCCACAACTTTTCTTGAACTTACACAACATCTGTTAATAAAATTTGAAATTTCATCTACATCATGTACAATTTGTTGTTTATCACCAGATACTACTACAGTCGACCCCCCTATAATTACGGTCCCTATAGTTACGATTCCTATAAAACTACGAAAAAATTGCTACCGGTATCCGTAAAAAATAGTAAAAGTTCCCTATAAACACCTCAAACGTCATCGGGAAGCCGAACTACTTTCCCGCCGTCCGTAGCGCCACGCTACGGAGAGATTTCTATCGTCTGGACAGTATTATATAAATTATATATAAATTAGGTACTGTACATATAATTATATATTAATTATATATAAATTAGGTACTGTATATATAATTATATATTAACTTATTGTAACTTTGTTATAATTAAATATATAATTTCCGCCGTCTAGCGTGGCGCCACGCTACGGAGATTTTTACGCTAACTATCGTCTGTCAGTATGTAAATTAGGTACCGTAAGTCTAATACAGTACTGTAATTTTATACATTTCTTGTGAAAGAAACATTTCTTATTCAACGGCGATTAAAATTATTTATATTAATGATGTCTCCGAAGTTCTACGAAGTTTTCACAGAAAAATAAGTTGTTAGAAATCGGCCGCTCTTTGCTGAGCTGTTCCGCGACGAAAACAATGTTGAGCAATGGCAATGTCGAATGGTGACACTCGGTAAGTAATCCTACAATTTTTTGTTTATAGCGTAGTTTATACGGATTATTCCCAAAAAATATATACGTATTTTGGAAATGTTGAGTCGGATTAGTCTAGAATCGATTAATTTTATGGAAGAAAATCTTTCAAACAGCCGTAGTCCGTAAACTTGATATGTGTCGGGTTGTGATTGGAAGGATTCGTAAGAAAGCGGATTCCTAGAGAATGGAACGTATCTCTATCTTATAGGGGGGTCGACTGTACTAAATTAGCAGTCATAACCCTTGTATATACAGTATAGCGTAGTATAAATGTCTACTTTTTCGTATATTATTACTATATTGTTTTTGTTTGAGAACCACGGGGCTATTGACCATAATCTTTTTGAAGTCTGGGAACACTAAACTTTGACATTTTTTTCTGCAGAACACTTACATCAGCTTTAAAGCAGGGTGGCAAACCTTTTTGAAATCAAGAGTGCACTTGGTCTAGTATATGATATCATTGGCATTTGTAGATTACATTCCTATACAAAAATTATTATACATTGTATTGATTTTTCTTTTGCAACAATTCTTAATTGTATATTTGATGTTTTGTGGAACACTTGAAGTGGCTTCACAGAGCACCTGTGTTCTGCGGACCACGGATTGAGAATGATGGGCCTATCCTACACACTTATCAGCTGCTTGTTCAATAAGTGTATAAGTATTGCTGCCCTAGTGGCTTTCTTCAGTACTGCAGTGGCAACAAAACTACCTGAGGGTGGAGAAAAGTGGAAAGGCTTGTTTATTCATTGTATGGCATGGTGCAATCGCCAATCCAAAATCAATAAAGCATTTATTCTATAGTTAATATTTCCACAAAATAAGTAGTTTCCAATATCCACATTAACACCGGGGTGTGTTAAAAAAATCATACTCCTAGAACCTATTTCCGGTGTGACGAAAAAGAACAAAGAAAAATTTTACCACAAACATTTTTGAACTGCTGTGAGTTCTTCCTCAGGTGAAAAAGGGATTTCTGATGGGACGGAGCAATTGGTTAACGGTATATGAGAAAAAAATATTTGAAAGTGTAATACAAGTTGCGCATGCGTAATCGTAGGGTAACCAGATCTTAACAGTTAAAGTTCGGAGTCCATCAACGCCTTCCAGGTTACAGACAAAACTAACTCATCTTTAAAATTGATGCATGAGCCGTTAAGGGTCAATTTATAAATGTGAATGGCTTCTAGCCATTTTAGGTGTTTGATGTGTGACGTAGTGCAGACTAGCTTTGCCTGAGTAAAGGCTGATGAGATGTCAGGATCGGAGGCATGAGGGCGGTGGAGTTTCTCTTATGTTGAATGTCTGCTATGTGCTTTTTCCTTCTTTTGCTTTTTTTTCGTTACACCGGAAAAAGGTTCTAGGAGTACAATTTTTTAAGTAGTTTCCACATATTCCTGCCTATACTTTCTTTATATATTAGAATGAAATCTAAAAGATATAGGTGACTTGCTTTTGAAATCTAGCCATAAAATTTAATGTATTTTCAAAGTTTATAATTAAAACTATATATTAGCATTATGTTAAACAAATACACATCAATATGTGCACTTACATCCAAAATTAAATGCCACAGGTTATTTTTAATTAAAGTAAATAAAGATACTTTAGACAAATTCATTTGGAATGGCAGGCAGATGTCTTCCATGTTCAGGTCCAATTCTCAGAAGTGACTTTCACTTGTCAATTTGATATGATCATCTCATCCATCATAATCTAATCACTTGTGATCCTGGCCATAAAAAATCAATTTAAACAATTTGCAAATAAATTCTCCAACATCAAAATTAAATCCAGCAAAGATGAAACCATTGTTTTATAAACATTTTGATAAAAAAGCAATATCTGTCAGTAAAAACATCAATAATAATGAATCAGCTACATGTCTTGTTATTCAATCAAAGGAAACTATAGGATGATTAGAAGTGGGTCAATTCAGAGAGAGGAAGGCTTGATAAATTTTTGTCAAGAGAAACTGAATAGTTATGCAAATAATGATGTAGAGAAGCTTGCCATATCATTCTCTCTAGAGCTTGTATTGCAAGTCTCAAAACTATCAAAGACTTTGAATCTCTGTTTGTGAGAAGATTCTCTTTTTTATTTCATCTTCATAAATTATTTATAACTAGGATGATTATTATTGCTGAAACTTAAAACTCAGCTTGTTTTTATCTTGAGAAAATAATTTATTCCTCCAACAAAGAAATAAATATATTATCTATGACGGCTGTTTCTTTTTCAACCTCCGATGGTCCGTAAAACAAAGACAAATGTAAATAACAAAATGAATTTATTACCAAAAGTTAGGTACAAACATGGTTACTTTTTGATGTAATCACCATGAAGATTGAGGCATTTGTCTATCTGTGAACAAGCTTTGAAATCCCCTCCATCTTCATAGAATGTTGCTGCCAATGACCCAAGATGGGCCCTAATGTTGTTTTGAAGATCGTCATTAGTCTCAAACCTCTGCCCTCCTAGCCACGCTTTCAGTTCAGGAAA